AATGCCTCAACATGAAGGCAATATAAAGTATTTTAAGATTAAGAAACAAAATACATCCTTAGAAATAAGCAACAGCATTTTAAAAATTATGGCATATAAAGAACTGGTTCTGAAAAAGATGACAATCACGTTTCAGCAATGTCTCCTGATGTTTCTGTCTGACCAGAATTTGAATCCGTCCATATGGGTTAACAGATATACATGCAGTGAAATTAAACCAGCAAGTCCATCTGTTCCCCAAATACCTCCAATAGGCCATTCTTCATGGAGTATCTTTGTTTAGTCTTGCAGACCCCTACTTCTCAACTTGTTTTGCTCCACAGCTCAAAAGAAGTGTTCGTGGGTTCTCTGTACAAGTTCCTGAATGGTCTTTTTCAGTCCAATACATTTTTTGTTGGAATATAATATGATCCTGTGGTTTCACCCAGTCAGTGAAAGGCAAGATATTTTTTATGTCTTAGAAGAAAAATAACTTAAAACATTTCCTTTATTGGATTATGTGCTTTCATAATATGTATATTGTACCACAATCAAAAATATGGCACATTTTGTAGTTTTCAATGAGACACATCCATAAATGTTAAGAAGATGTTTTTTCCCGAGTCATTCATCGTGATTTTATCTTAGATATGACATGCATCGTCATATTTATTGGTTAATTTGAACAATTTGGTATCTCAAGTACACGATCTGGCAGCGGTTTTGTTCATTGTAATTCTTGCTGCATTGAGACCACCAAAAGAAATACCTAGAATGAAATTTTAGAGTGGGATTTTGGGGAAATTTTGAGTCCTTTGAAAATCTTAGCTTAGTTTCTTGCTTGGTGGCTTTCTTTCCTCATTACTGTGACAACCTGTGTAAACTGCTTGACCAATCACTATGTGCGCGCGCTCTCTAAAATCCTTTACAGACTCCCTAGTTTCCATAACAATGTCATTGATGAACATTTAGAAACCAGATTATTTTGAGAATGCTCTTAGATTAGCTTGAACCACAGAAAAGGTCATGTTTGTTGATAATCATGCAGCTATTCATTGGTTGAGCTCATCTGGTCTGATTGCGAATTGTTTCTTAATTTTGATAAATCAGTCTAATGTTTTAATCAGATTGGATGAAGATATTGCTTGCAGCCTTAAACAAAGTTGTTTCCATGCAAAATGTCCTGTAATTTCCCATGGTTTCTGGTGGGTCATTAATCAACATTCATGATAGTTACCCTTGGGTAAATAGTGGTGTTCCCCAAGAGTCAGTTCTAGGACCAATCCTATTCAACTTATTCATAAATGATCTGGAGAAAGGGGTAAACAGTGAGGTGGCAAAGTTTGCAAATGATACTAAACTGCTCAAGATAGTTAAGACCGAAGCAGACTGTGAAGAACTTCAAAAAGATCTCACAAAACTAAATGATTGGGCAACAAAATGGCAAATGAAATTTAATGTGGATAAATGTAAAGTAATGCACATTGGAAAAAATATCCCCAACTATACATACAAGATGATGGGGGCTAAGTTAGCTACAACTAATCAGGAGAAAGATCTTGGAGTCATTGTGGATAGTTCTCTGAAGATGTCCCCGCAGTGTGCAGTGACAGTCAAAAAAGCAAACGGGATGTAAGGAATAATTAAAAAAGGGATAGGGAATAAGACGGAGAATATTTTATTGCCCTTATATAAATCCGTGGTATGCCCACATCTTGAATACTGCGTACAGTTGTGGTCCCCTCATCTCAAAAAAGATATACTGGCATTAGAAAAGGTTCAGAAAAGGCAACTAAAATGATTAGGGGTTTGGAAGGGGTCCCATATGAGGAGAGATTAAAGAGGCTAGGACTTTTCAGCTTGGAAGAGAGGAGACTAAGGGAGATATGATAGAAGTATATAAAATCAGGAGTGGTGTGGAGAAAGTGAATAAGGAAAGCTATTTACTTGTTCCCATAATATAAGAACTAAGGGCCACCAAATGAAATTAGTGGACAGCAGGTTTAAAACAAATAAAAGGAAGAAGTTCTTCACTCAGCGCACAGTCAACCAACCTGTGGAACTCATTGCCTGAGGAGGTTGTGAAGGCTAGGACTATAACAGGGTTTAAAAGAGAATTGGATAAATTCATGGAGGCTAAGTTAATTAATGGCTATTAGCCAGGATGGGTAAGGAATGATGTCCTTAGCCTCTGTTTGTCAGAGGGTAGAAATGGATGGCAGGAGAGAGATCACTTGATCATGTTAGGTTCACTTCCTCTGGGGCACCTGGCATTGGCCACTGTTGGTAGTCAGGATACTGGGCTGGATGGACCTTTGGTCTGACCCAGTATGACCACTTTTATATTCTTATGTTCTTATAATCTATAAGAGAAGCACTGACCTGAGTTTAGATCCTTAGGTTACAAATCCTGCCTGTTTAATATCAAGAGTGATTTTTTTAAGGGGGAATTTTAATTTCTCTGCTGCTTACCCCTTATTTATTTATAAAAGGGAGACTCCGTTGTTTGCTACCATTTCCATGTCAAGTGCTGTAATTATAAAATAATATATTAAAAATAGAATTTATAGGGTGATGAGTCTGTTGTGATGTGGCCATAGGTGTTGCTTCCATTTAATGGAAATAGTGATGTACATTTGTGTATCTTCCTTTTCACCCTGCATTCACAGTAGGAATAAAAGCTCTTAAATGTTGATCAGAATCTCAGATGTATCCTACTTTCTTGAAACGATTGCAGATCTATTTAATATCACTATGAAATATTGCATTATATTATCAATGTATGCAGTAAGCTAGAGAAATAGTGCATCTCATTACATGTCTTTCTTTTCTTCCTAAACTCTCTATGCCGCCTCCTTTCTTTACTGCTGTTGATACATTCACTGTCCTTCCCATCTCCCGGACTTGAAATCCTCAGGCGATCTTCTTTCCCTTCCTTCCTGTTCTCCCTCCTTTCCCTGCCCTCACTGCATCCAGTTTCTCTCTAAGGTTTTGTTACTTCTTCCTCCTAACATAACCAAAACCCACTCTTCATTCACTATTGGCGTCACTAAACCCTTACTCCAAATCCTCTATTGCAAACTTCTATGAGTTCCCTTCTTGTCACTTCTCCCACTTCAGTCTATCCATGATAAATTGCCTTCATTCTGAATACATTATCTCCTCTATTCTGTCACTAACTCTCTATGTGCTACAGCATCAAATTCAGGCTAGGTTTCAATGGCCTGTGTAATATTGTCCCAGCTATGTCCTTGCTCTCATTTCCTTTTTCCTCCTATGCACCTCACAGTCCTGCCTCCTCACTGCTGCCTTTCTGGTGTCTCTTACCAATTCTTGGCTTCATGCCTTCACTGCCTCCTGTGCTTGGGACATTGCTCAATTTCTTGTTTACAAAATGTCTTCTCTCCTTCATGTCCCTGTTGATAACACACTTATTCAAAGAATCTTTTCTCCCATGGTCTCTCTTGACCTCATATGTCCTCCTCCCTCCCTTGCTATTATGACCTGAATTTTATGTTGTCTATGTGTTGGCTTTGTGAACTCTTCAGGGCAGGGACCATGCAACTTTTATGTTCTGTGTGAAGCACCACATGCCTTTATGTGGGGTGGTGTGAGGAGCTTGCATGTGTAGGCCCTGTTCTGTGTATAAAGAGGTTTTAATGTCTAGAGCTCCCAGTCCAGTTTTTTCCTCAAAAACATTTGTGTTGACTAAGGGCCAGATATTGTACTTATATGGGCAAAACTCTCATTGAGATCAATAGGAGCTTTGCCTGAGTAAGCAGTTCAGCAAAAAGCTTCAAATGAGCACTAATAATACAATTCTAAATGCACACGTATTAGTAAGACCATTTTAAATTCCAATATTATGTGATTCTGCAGGAGTAGACGTGAGAGCTTTATAGAACTGGAAATGAGAGATTCCTGGCTTCCGAGTAGGTCACACAATATTCACTCCTAGCTCCAGAAAATCTCAAGGAATCAGATTTTTAAACTGTGACACTTTTAGGTATCAAAAACTATTTTAGAGTAGTGGGGGTTATGGCTACCTGTGAGCCTTAGATATAGTTGACACCTGACTGTAAAGTAAGAGGGATATAAATAATCTTTAATTTATATGTTGCATACACAGAATACATGATGGTGTGATATGATGCTTCATTGGCTTCTCTGTGGTTCCAGTATGCATTTGGTCAGCCCAAATTCATATTTCAGAATAACCAGTGATTTAAGTAAACACATGTTAATCTTAGAATTCCTGTATTGTTCCTTGCAGAATTACAGCCTAGATGGCTTTTTGTGTGTCTGATTCAATATTTAGCCAAGATTTACATCCAATCTGACCTGCTTGCAAACTACTTTTTAATCACTTTTGCTTGTGCTATATCCTTCTGAGCATAGTCTCACAGCCCTTTAGGGGAAATGAGGAGATTCATGATCTCTCACTGCTGTAGCATTTCTAATCATCGCCTCCAGTGTTAGCACAAATTTTACTTTGAACCCATATGTAGGACAGACGTTTGAATAAGTCCTTGTAAGGTTCTGAGTACACGCTTGCTTGTAGCACTCACTGTTTCTAGGAGTCTGAGAAGGATAAAAGCTCAACTATCCTACAAATGCAGTTATCCATTAAAATATTAAAGCAGCTGACACCATCAGAGGGGATGAAAAGATGTGAGGATTCTGAAATGCAGTGAAATAACCAAATGCTAGGCGTTGTTGGCATTAAAGAAAGGGCCAAAAGAATATAGAATAAAACAGCATATAGGAATGTGTTTGTTCGTGAACATGAAAAGATTAAAGTCTCTTTAGACATAAATCAGGAAGAACTGGCCTGGGGACCATTTGGAAAAGGATGATGATGAAAGAGAGTGTGCTCAAGGAAAGAGATCCAAGGGAAGGGACATAAAAATGAAATGACTGGACATAAAGGAACAGTTGAGCCCCATGGCTGAGTAGGGGAAGCATTCCATAGGTCAGAATCCTAAATGATGGCAATTGTGTTGTGTTATCTGCCCACACAGATGAGGAAGGGACACTATGACAAGGGTTTCAAAAAATTATCAATAGAAACAAACTCGACAAGAAGGCAAAGAATACTTGGCTTGTCAGAGGTGGGTCTGTTTTGCTTTCTTTGTGCCTTATTTATGCATGTAGCTATTACATGAATAAAATCTTTGACTTGGTAAGGTTGCTCAGGAGAGTCGGAATTTGCAGGATCAAGCCCTTATTTCCACTTTGGCAATTTGTGAAAAAACTCTATGGATGTCATGATTGAGCCTGTTTATGTGAACAACTCTTTCCTTTTGACTTTGGGGACCAGATGGTGGATATAAGACATTGCCTGTGTTTGAGGTAAGGGGTGAGGAGGCGTTGCACACACCTGAATCCCTGGAGGGATTCTATCTGAATAAGTGGCAGTTGCTCTTATGGATCGATGGTAGCACACTCTGGAGCAGGAGTTCTGCCACCTGCAACATATGCTGTTCATGAGGCTGGTCACTCTCTTCTGGATGAGATAGAGAGATGTGGGGCTATGGCCACCATTGGAAGGACATCACTAGTGCTAGGTTGACTGCGCAGGGGCTTCCATCCCATTCTCTTTCCCTCTATATGCCCCACACATCCAGGATAGGGTCAGCACCAGTCTGGCCCTCAGCAAAGTAGCTAGCATACTGGTCTTGATTCAAAACTCATAGAAGTCAATGGGAGTCATTCCATTGACTTTCACTGAGCTTTGGGTCAGGCCCACTAATAGAATGACAGTACTTTATATACATATATATATATATAGGTATATATTGTGACACATTCAGACCAGAGAGTGGTGGAAGGCAGGTGTGGTAGCCCTAGAATGCTAAAGGTCCTTTTCCCTATGAGTTGAAAAGGAGCTACCTCAGATCAGCTAGGTACACTTGAATCCAATTAAGGGCAACTTCTGACCTTTGAAAAACCCATCTTCTCATGAGAGAAGGAGGGAGGGACTCTGGGGAAGGACTGGCATCCAGAGGCCGGCATAATAAGACAGCACCCCAGAGTGGGGCAGGGAAAGGTTTTCTATTACTGTGTTGCAAGGGTTTTTTTGTTTTGTTTTGACTGAAGAGTACTGCTTGGGCCTACCCTCAGGCCCACTTTGTAAATATTGGAAAATAAAACCTGAGTGAGGAATACAAACTCTCTGGAGTGGGGCTGATTTACTCCAGGTCTTTCTGTGTGTCCCCCCCCCAACCCACCCACACATCGCCAGAGGGGGAAATGCTGAGCCCGGCAAGCTGAAGGAGGTATAAAGTACCTGGAAAGACATATTTAAGATATTGAACCGTAAGTATTTGTGATATATTAGGATTGCCAATCATGGGATATGGGTAAAAAGTGTCCATAAAAACAGTCAAAATAAAACTGCACCTGTTCATGGACAACCATAGAGTTTTTACAGTGGAAAATAGGCAAATAAAGCAGTGGAATTACATAATATGAGAATAAAGTTCTCTGGTCTTTTCATCTGCAAAGGCGAGAGAAGACTCTTTCTGAGAATCATAAATCAGGTTCTGTTTACTATTGTACTTCCTTCTGTTTTGCCCTCCATGTTGAAAAAGAATAATTTAGCTAGTCAAAGTTGAGTGTCAAGCAGCAATTGCTGGTTGAGTTTTATCAGATTTTTTCATTTAATTGTTCCATAAGAGCCAATAATGTGTTTTCTAATGTGCTATGATTTGGCAATGCCCGAAGCAAATTCATTCTCCAACCCTTCCGCTGATGGAGTCTTTACAGCTCTATTTCCGTGGTTTTGGCATTAAGCAAATTGTAGGTGTATCTCTTCCCTTGCCAGACATAATGAGCCATATCCTCCACTGGTGTAAATCTCCATAGCTCTGATGTCTAGAGCTGATCAAAAAATGAAGAAATAAGTTTGCAAATAAATAAAATAAAAATGAAAATTTGACATCGTTTCTATTTTGCAAAGTTCAAAATTGAATACTTTTTTTTTCAAAATATTTTTTCAGTAAACTGAATTTTGAAACTTTTGGTTTTTCCCTGTTCTTACCCCCCCCTTTTGTCACTTAGTTCAATAAAATGAATGATGACTAGGGATTTTTTCTTGTAGTACTCACTAACTTTTCCAAAATTGATTAAGTTTTCAGAAGTTGACTGGAAAAAGAAAATGCTGCATGAATGCTTACACATGCGAGTTGAGTATTCAGTTCCCATGAATGCTCATGCAGTAAACCTTAATCACACAAATGTATGTAGCAAGCAAGCACAAGCATACCCAAACTGAATTCATATTAAAATCCAAGCAATTATCCAGGCACTTTTTTGTATTGTTTGGCAGTAATCATCTAGTTCTAATAGTGAATGACAGAAATGTGTGAAACTAAAGTGGCTTTTGTTCAAAGGGGGAAGAGGGAATACTTTTTTATTTAGTTTTGTGCCACCTGAATTGTACAGGTAATTTGGAACCCCAAAACTATAATGTGGTCCAGATTTGCTGCAAGCTTATTTCAGCTTCACCAAAAGCTTTGTTGACATCGGCGACACTGTTTCAGGATTGAGCGTAGCAGCCATGTTATTAGCCTCTTAGAGTTGGTAGGCAACTGCCACCTTTTCGTGTTCTCTATATGTATATATATATATATCGTCTTACTATATGTTCCATTCTATGCATCCGATGAAGTGGGCTGTAGCCCACAAAAGCTTTTGCTCAAATAAATTTGTTAGTCTCTAAGGTGCCACAAGTACTCCTGTTCTTTTTACTGTTTCAGGATGAAACTTATTCCTCTGTAGAAGACCCACACAAGTTCTATAAATTGCTTAAATCCCAAGTAAACCCAATTTTGAGTGGGGCCTGGTGTGAAAGAAATAGCTCAAATGAGAATTTGGCTCAGCATAAACTTTAATTGTGTTTTTAAATGAAATGTATGTTGATAAGATATGAAAGCAACTCTTTGCTTCACGGTCAGAAATCACTAGGTATTAATCATGATCTTGCCCATGCACCCCGATAGTAGGTTCTCTAATTTTTTTGGTTGCGAACCTGTCATGGACTTAAATTTATTTCTAGTATTTTGAGAGAATATATGTGTGGACGAATGACAAACTTGCTGACTAGGCTATTAACTATTTTTGTGAGTCTGCTTAGGCCTACAGTGAACACTGATGAAGGTTAATTGTGCACTGACTTATAAAAGGAATTGCATAGGATGCATGTCAACACAGTATTTGACACTTAAGCTCTAAACATCTTGATTTTTTTGAACTTTCTCTTAATTAATCTTGCATCAATGTCTTTTCCCCGCCCTGGATATCCACCCATGTAGCATCATGTCATCAGTGAATGCGAGGACAATAGTTGGTATCATTAGATTGTCCAAACCAAACCAAAACTGTCTTACCTTCTTTATCAATATATTTATAGCACTAAAGAATGTGACTAGTATTCTGGTGCAATAACTAATGCTGGGTTGAGAGTAGGAGGCTTGCAATGTGAACTTTGTCCTCACTGTACAGAAAATGATAATGGAATAAACCACATTGCAATCTGTTTGACTACTTAGAGGTACTTGCCTCTCACTTCCAGTTCTGGTATGCAGGACTGAGCAAACCATGTGAATATTTCTCTGCAGAAAATGGAAGACTGTTCAAGGCTTAACTTTCACAGTGCAATTCAGAAGTAGGCTGTTTCTGCAAACGTATTTTTGAGTCATTCAGGACTTTGTTTTGAAGCTTGAATTTGGCACTGTGTCAGAGTCCATAAAACTCTTATTTTTTTGTGTTTCCAAAAAAAAAAAAAAATCCTTGCACTGTCGGGCTCATAACGAACTGTAATATTTTAATTGCTTCTCTGAAAATGATGTTTACTGCCTGAATGAACAGCCATGTTAATCAGAATATTTCAAACAAATTATCTAAATGAGCTAGTTGTAATTAAACAGTGCTATCCAGTGGAGTGGTTGTTCTCATGAGAAAATTGACAGAATATTAAGCATTCTAAGGCAAAACCAAGAAGAGATGATCTTGACAAGGTCAGTTTTTGAATTGTAACACTCACTTTATGGAGTATTGGCATTAAGTCATTTAAAAACAAACAAGCAAATAAAAAAATCCTCCCAATGAGCTCTTCTCCTTGCCCCAACCCATCAAAATCACACTGTTTGAATTCTATGGCCATGTATCACAGTTGATTGTGACAGCAAAGTTTTGATTATGTAACTGAATATATTATGATCTATTGTTTTTAATAATAGAATAAGTGAAAGGGATTTCTCTAACTAAAGATGGATTTAAAGGAATTAATGATGGAAAACGAGGGAGGGTGGCGTATAGACAGTGGAAGATGCAGACTTGGGGCAGGTTCCTATGCTCATTGAGGGCAATAGAGAAACTTTCATTGACTTCCACGCATGTACTATCAGCTACTTAACCCTCCATCCTGCAAGATATGGAGCACCTTTGGTTCCCATTGAAGTCAATGAGCATTAAAGATGCTCAGCATCTTGCAAGATGGGGCCTTACATTACTAACTTTTTTGCAGTGATTTTAATCCCAAAAGAATCCCCATCTATTATTCAGTCCACTAAACCTATTGTTTGTTTACTATTATTATACTAATGTAAATGAAGTTAATACCAGAAGCTTCCATCAGGATTGTGGCCCTGTTGTGCTAGATGCTGTAAAAAGCACAAAGAGCTGATAGCAGCCACCCTTTATATTTCAGGACAATTGACTATTTGCTCAGAAGCTGATGAGATCGGTCCCTGTGACTTTTTTTGGGGGGGGAAATCACCCAGATCATTTACTAATTAATACAGGGGAAACTGAATTAAAGTTATTCATACCTATATGAACCTGTACTTTCACATTTTTTCAAATCCAGAGTTTTTGCTGTAGTGTGTAGAATACAAAGTATACAGTTAGGACACAGTACTCAGTTGGGGTCTTGCATTCAGTGCATGAAAAATCCAGGCATATACCAAGTTTTAATCATAGGCATTAAGAGTCTTTGTTTTTTTCAGTTGAAAGATTTATGTGCTGGAGTGATAAAATGGAAAATAAATACGTAATGTTCAAATCATCAAAGGGTCAAAAAGATGGCATTTGCCAAGGATGTCAGAAGACGTCATTATGTGATTGGAGGGGTCTTATAAATCCCATATCAGATTACCCTCCTATTTTCTTACTGACCACTAGGGATATGAAACTGGCTGGTATTTGCTACTGTTCTTAGTTATACATGGAGATGTTCGTGTATTTATGATAAAATACTTTGTATTGCTTTTCAGAGGCTTTTGTACCCCTCTGAAAGTTACCTGTTGTTGTTGCAGGACCAAATCCTGAAGTGCTTACTCTGCTTTTACTCTGGTTCAGTTTTATTTCAGTGAAACTTTTGCTTGAGGAAGGACAGAGCTAAAATTGATAGGTGTCTAAGATTTGCCCCATCATTTTAAAATTCAGTCATAGTGCCAGAATCCTCCTCCTTGGCAGAATGTCTACTAATAATTTTCACTTAGTGCAGTCTGAGACAAGGGTCTAAATCAAAGAAGGGCTGTGCACTGCCATGCTCAATGAGAACTGCTCAGAATCTCTCAGGCAGGATCAGTCCAATAATTGTGGCTTGTTTTTGTGCTTATCTGAAATGATTTGTGGCTTTGCCCTGATGCTCTGCAGTAGTAGTACCCCCACCCGCCCTTTATTTTTTCAGGCAACTGCTACAGTTTACAAAAGTTAAGAGTTTAATTCCCATGTCATTTGCACCATTTTACATTGATTTAAGTCCACTGATGTTAAAGGAGTTCTCAGCTACGCCTGGTTTATTGCAGTGTGAGAGGAAAGTCAGACCAAAACGCTTCTTAGAACCTTCCTGCAAAAGGCCTGAAGTACCAGTAATGGCATGCATATACCAATGGCTGGGAATTTCTGTTCTACAGACACTGGCTAGATGAGGATTCATGGCTTTGCAATGGAAGTTTCCTAGGTGAAGGAGAGTTTACTGTTGTATTTGAAAGCCTTTGAGAAATTGTCTGACAGTGTACAAGTCTCTGACAATGAGCATAAAAAGATAGCGATACATATTTGAAAACTAGGCTCTCTTTCATTGTTATGCTGATGGTTTACTGGTCTTGGTTTTGTCTTTTTGTCAACTCCTCATCTCCATGACAGGGATTTGGAAAACAAGTGGATGTGTCATATATTGCCAAACATTACAACATGAGCAAAAGCAAAGTTGACAACCAGTTCTACAGCGTGGAAGTAGGTGACTCGACCTTCACCGTTCTCAAGCGCTACCAGAACTTAAAACCTATTGGCTCTGGGGCTCAGGGAATAGTTTGGTAAGTCTCTTCAGTTTCTTTTATTTATGCTTTTAAATGGGATATGCCTTCTGCCTTTCTTTAGAGTTTGCTAGTTCCAAACATTGTCTAAGATTGTAAAAATAACAGTTAAGCAGCAGACATCCTTTGATAAAAAGAGCCTAGTGTTCTGCTAATAAATGTTCTTGCTGTTGTGAATGGTAGCATTGGGTTTGTTTCTCCACATAGCAAGTATTAACTAGCAAGAAAGTGGGAGACAGATCTTACAATAATTGACAGCTATAGCCCTTATTTGCAGTAGAAGTGGAAATTATATATCAAACAGACCCTGTAATTTCTACTCCTGGCACAATAAAAGTCACTGAGACCTATTTAGAAAGAATTCACATCCCATAGCATCTTGAAGCTTTCACATATCTACATGACAGATAATGTTTTCCTTTATTTTAAGTGACATTTCAATGCAATGTATACATAATCCAAATGAATGACAGAAATGTAATAGCTGATATTATATAATATATACAGTTAATAGAATTCACAGAGTAAATAATCATTTAAATAATCCCATTTAAAGCTTATGTGACATTTTCTTTTACATTTGTTTCTGCAGTTTTAGAGATGGTCCTTTCCTTTTGCCTACCAATGGTTTATAGTGTGAACCCCTGCCCAGTGGCACTCAGCATATTTGTTTTAGACAGCAAATAGTTCTTTTCCCCCCAACTACTTTATCATAGATGTCCTTTTCTGTCTGTCTTCTCTAACACTGCAGTATTGTGAATTTAATGTAATGCTACCTTACCATGAGATGGAATGGCAGAAACACTAACTTTCTCTAACACAAAGGCAAGTGCAATTCTATAGATTGCTCAGCATGGACACTAAAAATTAGCAGTGAAGAATGGCATCTGTACCTTCAACCCCTTCCAAGTCTGCATCACTTACAGAACCTATGCCACTTCCACCGATCAAACTGTGTAATTTTCAAATCTGCTTCATGGCATCAAATTGAGAATTTATTTATTGTTTTTATCATACAATTTTTTCAATTTTGTTTACAGTCAGATTTTAGAAAGAAATATAATGTATGTATTAAATGCTTTTGTTTGTTTTCCCAGGATGTTTTTCCTTCACTACCTAGCATTAAGCTCTTGTCTTCTCTTCCTACTTCGCACCCTGTATTGCTGTGAAACTCCTTCCTCCCCTCAAATCAAGTTTTCCTATGCCTATGCATAACTGATTTGCTGTAAAGTTCAATTATGAGCAACAAAGAACAGATAAAGCTAAAGGCATCCAAACAGAATCAATAACATCCTGTGATATTTATATTTCATGCTGAGATTTGACAGGCCAAAAATCTGAATGCCTTAAGCAAAAAGAAACCAACCCAAACAAACAAACAAAAACCAAATACCACCCAACAAACAAAGTGTAAGCTAATACAAATCCCCTGGAATAAATGAATAATAGGATAAGACTGCAAAAAGACCAGTGCAGTTTTGGGCTGCAGATGTAAAGATAGCACATCATGGATTAGGAAGATAAGATTCATTTCTATACAGAACCTGAAATATTGTGTTGAGTTTTAGCCTCTAGTTTACCATAAGGATATTGACAAACTGTTATGTGCAAAGGAAGATGAATCATTGGTAGGGTATGATGAAGTGATTTATTTACAAAGTCACATTCTAAAAGGTATCTGTAACTTGGCTATGAGAAAACAAATGGGGAGATATGTTAAAAGCCTACAGATATTTGAAGGTTGTAAACACCAAAGGCAGAAATACAATATTTTGTGTGATGCATGTGGATATATCTAAAAGCAACTGAATTAAGAAAAGGAAAATGTAGGCTAACAACTTTCCTGTCAGTGAGATGTATTAGATTGTGGAATAATCTCCCAAAAGAAGTGGTGGAAGCCTCGTTACTTGGAACTTTTAAGCCTCGATTGGCCAAAACATGAGAACATGGACTTGAAGGGTTTTTTCTTACGTTGACAAAGAGATGGACTGAGTGATCTTTTTAATCTCTGAATTCTCTGATTCTAGAAGATGTACTGTATTTAGCTGTTCTTTCTCACCCCTGCAACCCCCAAAGAAATTGTGCTGGAGCAAATTCATGCCCTATTGGGTCTTAAGAGTGCTGCCTGGTAAATCAGCCAGGCCCCACACCTAGCACTCAATGGAAGGTTTGGTCACAATTCTGGTTGGCTCCTGGGAGGATAAAGGTTGCCCAAGGTTTTTTTGTTTAAAAAAAAAAAAGAGAGAGAGAGACCCTACCATATGAAGTGTTTTCAACCCCCATTGCACCCATGTGGAACAATTATAAATGTTTCAAGACAAATGCCCTATTGAGATGTGTTGATGTGAACATGTTCAGTTCAATATTATCTGGTTACCCTGAAGTTAATTCCTTCTTTTTTTCATACCATAAGGGTTTCTGCTAGTCTGAGTTCATGTGGAGGTTTTTGTAAGTGCAGAGGCAGAACACTTGTTTATGAGCAGGGTTTTGCTCCTTGTCCCTGCCACCGATGTGTCTGTGAAAAAGATTAGCTGATTAAATGGCAGTGTATGTTTGTATGAATGGTATGTTTGTTTAGGGGGGTCTGTAGCATCCTCTAGTGGTGCATGTGTACATAAATAATACCACTGGCAACGCTGAAACATTTTGTTGTGTTATCTCAACCATCATATTGAGCTCATAAGCTTTGGCATTGCTGGGGAGCATATCGGCTAGATTCTTCAGTCTGCGCAGGACACTTAAGCTCTTACAGGGAGGGACTGTTCCTTTGTTCTATTTTTACAGCACCTAGGGCAATGGTTCCTGGTCTATGACTGAGACTTCTAGACTCAACTGCATTATAAATCATAAATAATAATTTATGTCAGATGGCCTGAGTGTCTGCAGGTGGCCAGCAGACAATTTCCCCTCCGTCAGTGTATCCATCGCCTGTACCAGCCACAGCCCACCACTGGTATATGGGGAAGAATAGGGCATATCAAGGGTGTGGACTAGCAGAGGTCAGACAGAGAAGAGTAGATCCTCTGTGGCTTGTAGCTAGTATACAAAAGAATATCATTGGCTTACCTACCCATGTTTCACTCACTCATCTAACTGAGAACTGGTGTGTAGGAGCTGTTAGAAGCTGATTTCTAGTCCCTCAGTGTGGCTTCCCATTAAAGGTAACGTTGTTTTAGTTGACTTATGCAGCAGCCTGAGGAAAAGTTATCGTCCTCTGTTTCAATAATTGTACATAGAGGACGAGGTCCCCAACTGGTGTCATTTGGCATACCTCCACAGAAATTAACCTGAATATCTGGTCCCAAGGATGTAACACTAACTTTCCTGGGATGGGGAAGAGAGAAAACATTTCTTTCTGAACAAAAAGACTAAACTGTAATTTTACACCATGTGTAATCAGTTATTTCAGATTTGGAAATGATAGCTGCAGAATAACAGCCTAAGAAAAGAAAAGCACAGAGTGACGCAACCTACTCAGAGGAATTTTAAAAACGTACACCATGATGTGCTGCAGTCGCAAGTCTCAGATGATCAAGTATCTCAGGCCTACTTAGAATTTGAAATGCAATTTTTCCAGGAAGCTTATTGATAATTTATTCAGTGACGTTCTTTCATGTGACTCAGAACTGAGCAAATGCACCTATGTGATGGCAATTCCATTCCAGTTAGGTAATCCTGTAGAACCAAATCTTGCAATCTTTTTGTGGACAAAATTCCACTGGGCAATCATTCTGTCTACCTAAAATTTTTCTCTCTAGTTTGTATCCTTTCAAATGGCTTCTAGTCTTCATTTTCTATCCTAAGCTATTACTTATGTTGCTATGTGCCTACACCTTCTACCCCAGAAATAGCTGCATTTCAGTAGTGGTTGAAGTGTTCCCTTTAGAGAAACCAATCTGTAAGGTGCTTTGGAAGAAGGGCACGATATATACAGTAAATGCCAGTTTTTATTATGGAGAAAAGATGGGTGAGGTAATACCTTTTATTGGATTAACTTCTGTTGATAAGAGAGAGAAGCTTTTAGAGCCACACAGAGTTCTTCTTCAGGCCTGGGAAAGGAACTCCCATCATCACATTTATCATTTTCCTGTGTGAGTTCATTTGAGAGCGTAGTGATTGCATGGTTTCACCCACATAATTGTTGTTGGGGCATTTGGTGAATTGGATGAAGTACACCACATGTTGTGATATGTCTGCAGGTTTTGCATCTCTTGTTCTGGCAGGGTCTGGTGTAGCTTTGAGTTACTGTATCCTGGTCTCTGGTGAGCTTGCTTCTGATCATGAGCCTGGAGAGGTTGGGGAGGTTTGGGGAATTGTTTGAAGGCCATAAGTGGGGGTTCAGGGAAGACTTATTTCAGGATGGGTTCCTCATCAAATACGGGTTGTAGTTGTTTGTTGATACCATATGGGTTCCAGTGTGAGGTGGTAGGTGACAACTGGGGTGTGTGGTCAGAGGGGTTTTATTTCTGTATTGAAGAAGGTTTTTTCAAGGTATTCGGGTGGCTTGTTCCATGACGCAATCTACTTTTTTGGTAGAGTCCTTGTTTGAAGGTAGTTTTGAGTGTGTTAAGGTGTATATTCCGGACTTTCTCCTCGAAGAATATTTTGTGGTACCTGAGTGCCTGGCTGTAGATAACAGATATCTTGGTGTGTTTTGAGTGGTTACTGGATCTATGAAAGAAGGTGTGGTGATCCATGGGTTTCTTGTATATGGTTGTCTGTAGAGTTCCATTGATGAAGCTAAAAGAAAAGGAGTACTTGTGGCACCTTAGAGACTAACCAATTTATTTGAGCATGAGCTTTCGTGAGCTACAGCTCATGGTGTCCAAGGAGTTGATGCTAGTGTGGGAGTATTCCAGTGAGAGTTTAATGGATGAGTGGTGGTTGTTGAAGTAGTGGTGGAAATCTATGAAGGAATTTAAACTATCTGTGCAGAGGATGAAAATATCATGGATTTATCTCCAATATATCATGGTCATTTGTCCAGAAATTTTTCTCCA